CACCAGGTCTGGAACTCGAACCACAGTTGACTATATGGGAACCCAGCAACATAGCTATTACGCTAACTGCTGGTCCTCCAAAGCTCTATTTTGATTATCAAGAATATACTAGACCAACTCAATATGTTAAAATAATAATAATAATAATCCTTTCTTGGGAACAAAATTTCACAGAAGACAAAAATGGCAAAGTGGTTGAGGTACTGGACTTCCACATGACTGACTACGATTCAAGTCCTTGAACTGGCAACTTGAAAATCATGTGAAGTGCATGTATGTCCTAAATCTCAGGAGGAAAACGGAGGAGAAGAAACTGTGGTTGACCATGCCCTCTGAGGTGTGATTTCTCACTTTCCCTCTCATCGTCTCTGAGTCTCCTCTCCAGCAAACACACACACCCTAATAGCAAAAACCTTGGGGAAAAAAAAAAAAAAGTAGATCGTAAAAGTAAAGAATTGCCTAAAGGTAGAAAGAGGCTGATGGGGCTCACACACCCTAACAGCAAAAACCTTGGGGGAAAAAAAAAAAGTAGATCGTAAAAGTAAGGAATTGCCTAAAGGTAGAAAGAGGCTGATGGGGTTGGGAGGACTTGATCCTTTACCGAATAAGTGAATTTGCTAATACAGCTGGACTCCATAGTTTGAGATAATCATACACATTGTACTTTTCTCCTTATGAAGAACCTTAACTATACCTCACATCAGAGACCAAAATAGTTGGGAGAATGATTAGTGGAGGAAAAAGCCTCCTTGATGACAGACAGATTTCACATTTTAAACTTCCATTTGTACTCCAAATAACTTTTACTGTCAGGCAATTAACTGCTGCGCTATGTGGCATTATGGCATGGTTACCCAGCAGCTGTAATCGCGATGCAATCAGCAACCTTCTATTTTCAGACTCCGTGTTTTTGGAGTTGTGCCAGTGAATATGTAGAGAAACAAGGCCAAAACCCCCACCACTTATTGTTCAAGATCATTCGAGTGCCGTTAAGGCCACAATGAGTGAGGTAATTTCCTGATTGAAAATAATTAAATTGAAAATAAAAATACCGTACATGAGGTCTTACCATCTCAGTAAGTGAAAAATCTGCATTGAAGAGGAAGATAGGATTGTAATTACCTCATTTTTTATAAGAATCCTTTCAAATGAAAATGGGGACATTTCATTTTTTTTCTTTTTATATGTCAACTTTGGTATCACCTGTTCTGTAAGCTCTCCCCCCTTAGAAACAAGCCAGCATACAGCTGTCTCTGGGTTTGCGTGTCTGTGTCTACATTCTCTTCCCGTACTCATCATTCCATCATTACTTCTTGTATACCTGCATCGCAGGACTCCACGCATTAACTACATGCCCTATCAGAGCTTATACTGAAATGTTTTTGTTTATTTCTTTATAAATAATATACATGCACTACTATGACAATATACTACCTAAATTATATCAATAGATAATGAAGGGTCATGGCTCAATACCCTTTCCAGTCTCCTCTTGGAATTTTGGGCATAAGTAGCCAGTGTGATTTTTTTTTTTAAGCCACCAGGTCCAGGACTCGAACCACACAGCTGGCCATGTGGGATGCAGTGCCTTAACTACCATGCCACCTTCAGTTATGTTTATTCTACTGTCTGATACCATCTGAGCCTCCTCTTTTTAATCAGTATGTTTTTTCCCCCCAAGAACCATAGTTGAATCATTCTCTGAATATAGTGTATTCTCAAGTCTCTGAAGTTTTTTTCTGTAGTTACTACTGTTGCCATGGGTAGGATTCGTCCTTCTGATATTGACTCTCATGTCTCTCTTCAGCAGTATGGGTTGGTGTAGTTGCAGAGCACTTGACAGTTCCTGCCAGCCTGTCTGCATTTGCTCTTAGTAACTGCACGGAGGGCCAGGATACATGCCATGGTGGGATATTCCAGAAGCACCTTTCCTGGACTGGGTTCTCCTTTCGTGTGTGACTCTAAGTGTGCACCCTCCCTGCTCAGAGGCAGACTTCTCTGTTAGGAGAAAGGGAGATACCAAAATGACCAGCTGTTCCTTCTCTAGAGCCCAGCCAGTTTCCCTAATGCTCACTCTCAGTTCTCACTCACAGTTCCTTTGCTCTTCTGTGGAACCTGTGGCTCTTGAGATTATTTTGGAAATTCTTTTTCTCATCACCACCTTCTCTGAATGGCATATTGCTGTAGCTTCATTCTGTATTCCATTCATATCTGTCTTTTCTCTTTTAGGAACGTTTTGAAACTTCTGATCCCTTAAAAGCACACCTCTGCTAATGATGTACATTACAGAGATTGGAAGTGGAAGGGGTTGTCAGGTGCATTGCTTGAGCCCTATTCTGATCCAAGCTCTTGTTGAAAATGCAGCATGTTCCCATTTAAATATATCCCTAATGGTATACACAGAGGAAATACGTGCTTATTTCTTAGACTCTGACGCAGAAGTGGCTTTCTTCTAATCCTACCATTATAAGGATTTGGGGTATAATAGCTATATTTTATGAATCCATACGTTCCCATTTATGAAATCACAGAGCCACAGTGTTTTATTATGTGTTATTTTTATATTTATAGCATATAGTGACAAGCTAATTTTAGTATCTTTTTCCTCTATTAGGTTACTGCTGACTCAACCATTCTAAACATTCTTCAGTCCAACATTCAGCATGTGCTGGTCTATGAAAATCTTGCTCTCCAGGAGAAAGCATTGGCTTGTATTCCAGTCCAAGAACTAAAAAGGAAATCACAAGAAAAGTTATCTAGAGCCAGAAAATTGGATAAAGGTAGTAGCTTTATACAATTGTTTAGTACTAAATATATAGAAATAATAGAGTAAATAGTGCCTTTTGCTATATACATGATAAATATTTAGCCTATCCCTCTTTGGATTTTTAAGAAGTATAATAATAATTCAGTAACTCCTCATTCTATCCTCACCCCAGCCTCTATCAACCACCTTTCTGCTTTCCGCTCCCTGACTTTGATTACTCTTAAATATCTCAGATAAGCGGAGTTACATAGATTGGTCTCCTGTGATTGGCTTATTCCACTTAGCAACGTGTCCTGAACGTTACACGCGAGGGATTTCCTGACTGAACACTTCATTGAGTCTGTGCACCACATTTTGTTCACCTGTTCTTCTGTTAGTGGACCCTCGCTTCCAGCTTTTAGTTATTGTATTGTGAATCATGGTGCTGGGGCTATGGGTGTACCAGCTTCTGTGTGAGACCCTAGTTTCCGTGTGTGTGTGTGTGTGTGTGAGTGTGTGATTGTTAGATCATGTGATAATCCTATTTTTAATTTTTTGGAGAAACAGTCATGCTGTTTATACAGCCACTAACCATCTTACACCCACAGTGCACAAAGGTTCTGATTTCTCCTTTTTTCCCTTACGAGAAAGACAGAAAGATAGGTTTGGAGTTTTTGTTCTGTTTTGTTTGACTTTTCCAGAGGGCAGATGCCTTCACCAGAGAGAGAGAGAGAGAGAGAGAGAGGGAAGGGGAATGAAAGAAAGCATCTCCGGTGGGGTACAGTCGTGCCACAGTCCCATCTCTGCCATTCTCTCTCCTGTTGGGAGCTGGAGCACACAGACACACACACCCATCGTGCTGCTCAAGCTGCTCGGGCCAAGATTCGAACTGGCTTCCTCTGCAGATCACTTACTCAAGGAGCAGGAATCCTCCAAAGGAGCATCAGTAGGTGAATCATGTGGTTACCCTGATTCATGCTGACTCACTTGCCATCTGTCCTCACATTAGGGATGTCTTTGTCAGGTGTACTAAAATCCCCCACGTCCATTAACTAAGATTTCGAAGCCACTTCTCATAGCATTTCCTGACAGTGGCTGGTTGTCAGGTGCATTGCTTGAGCCCTATTCTGATCCAAGCTCTTGTTGAAAATGCAGCATGTTCCCATTTAAATATATCCCTAATGGTATACACAGAGGAAATACGTGCTTATTTCTTAGACTCTGACGCAGAAGTGGCTTTCTTCTAATCCTACCATTATAAGGATTTGGGGTATAATAGCTATATTTTATGAATCCATACGTTCCCATTTATGAAATCACAGAGCCACAGTGTTTTATTATGTGTTATTTTTATATTTATAGCATATAGTGACAAGCTAATTTTAGTATCTTTTTCCTCTATTAGGTTACTGCTGACTCAACCATTCTAAACATTCTTCAGTCCAACATTCAGCATGTGCTGGTCTATGAAAATCTTGCTCTCCAGGAGAAAGCATTGGCTTGTATTCCAGTCCAAGAACTAAAAAGGAAATCACAAGAAAAGTTATCTAGAGCCAGAAAATTGGATAAAGGTAGTAGCTTTATACAATTGTTTAGTACTAAATATATAGAAATAATAGAGTAAATAGTGCCTTTTGCTATATACATGATAAATATTTAGCCTATCCCTCTTTGGATTTTTAAGAAGTATAATAATAATTCAGTAACTCCTCATTCTATCCTCACCCCAGCCTCTATCAACCACCTTTCTGCTTTCCGCTCCCTGACTTTGATTACTCTTAAATATCTCAGATAAGCGGAGTTACATAGATTGGTCTCCTGTGATTGGCTTATTCCACTTAGCAACGTGTCCTGAACGTTACACGCGAGGGATTTCCTGACTGAACACTTCATTGAGTCTGTGCACCACATTTTGTTCACCTGTTCTTCTGTTAGTGGACCCTCGGGCTGCTTCCAGCTTTTAGTTATTGTGAATCATGGTGCTGGGGCTATGGGTGTACCAGCTTCTGTGTGAGACCCTAGTTTCCGTGTGTGTGTGTGTGTGTGTGAGTGTGTGATTGTTAGATCATGTGATAATCCTATTTTTAATTTTTTGGAGAAACAGTCATGCTGTTTATACAGCCACTAACCATCTTACACCCACAGTGCACAAAGGTTCTGATTTCTCCTTTTTTCCCTTACGAGAAAGACAGAAAGATAGGTTTGGAGTTTTTGTTCTGTTTTGTTTGACTTTTCCAGAGGGCAGATGCCTTCACCAGAGAGAGAGAGAGAGAGAGAGAGAGGGAAGGGGAAGGAAAGAAAGCATCTCCGGTGGGGTACAGTCGTGCCACAGTCCCATCTCTGCCATTCTCTCTCCTGTTGGGAGCTGGAGCACACAGACACACACACCCATCGTGCTGCTCAAGCTGCTCGGGCCAAGATTCGAACTGGCTTCCTCTGCAGATCACTTACTCAAGGAGCAGGAATCCTCCAAAGGAGCATCAGTAGGTGAATCATGTGGTTACCCTGATTCATGCTGACTCACTTGCCATCTGTCCTCACATTAGGGATGTCTTTGTCAGGTGTACTAAAATCCCCCACGTCCATTAACTAAGATTTCGAAGCCACTTCTCATAGCATTTCCTGACAGTGGCTGCTGACATCGCCCCAGCATTTTTTTTCCTGTTAACTATAAAGGTAGAGCTTGGTTTCTTTCGTCTATTTTTTTTTTTTTTTTAAATTTGG